CGTGTTCGTTCATGTATTCTTGTACTTTCGCTACTCGTTTTTTTTTCCCCTTCCTTTCATGAACATAAAGCTCATGTTGTACCTTTAAAGCGTTTTCATTGTAGTTTGTGCTGCAGCAACTGGGTCGGGAGAGGCCACTGTCTTGCTCATAGCGGTGTCATTTTTTTTTAACTGCATGAGTAACGCCCGGCTGCCTTTTGCAGACCGGTAAAGGGCGAATTTAGGAGAGGGAGTGTGGGAATTGAGGCTAGCCCGCTGCCTTTGCGCGGGCTTTGCTGCCTTTTCTGCCGTTCTCATGTCCCGACATGTCTGCCCTCCTTTGCTGTCTGCCGTGGTGGGAGAGCGGAGTGACGTTTAACTCCCTCACCCAGAAGCGGATGTTGACTGTGGCGCCGCGCGCGGGGACTCCCGGGTAGTTTTCACGCGCTGCGTCGGGAGCGGCCAGATACTCTCTGGGACAGCAAACGGTGAGCCACGCAATCTTTGCTGTCCGTCGACTCCCGTCGCTCGGGGGCTCGTCGGACTTCGCTGACGGCGCCTCGCGCCCGAGGCGACCGCTCAGCTTTTGTTGCCCCGCTGCGAAGGGCGGTACGGTGTCCTAGTGCGTGGCCTAGCTACGCCGACCCGTATCCCTTTGAAGCCAACGCGAGCGCCTTTTGCCCTCGCACGAGCAACCGGGCCTTTGTCCCGGTGTCTCCGTGGATCACCTTTACCGCGGAGACGTGCTCGTGGCACCCTGTGTAGTACTTTTGTGCCCGTGGCGTGGATAAGCCTATTTGCTTTCCCGCCGCGCCTTTGCAAAGGGCTGTACTGCGTTTGGTGTTGCCACAATAAAGTGTTGCGACTTTGAGCAGTATCGTGTTCTCGCCACGGCGACTGTTAACGCGTGCCCTGCGGCTCGCTAAGACTAGACCCACGCTGGTGGCCGTACTCCTTCGGGATACGTGTACACCACAAGGTGGAGCGTTGAGTGAAGGGATGTTCTAGAATACGGGCCTCAGATGTTGCACAGTCCTCGCAGCCACGCGTAGAAATGTTTGACAGAAGCAAATCAAGACTCATTCAAGCGAAAAGAAGCCAGAGAAAAACTGCGAGGGCAGAGGAGCCTGCTGCCCGCATTAGTCCTAAGGGCTCTACGAGTAAGCTACAAACATCAAAGGGGAGAAGAATGCAAACCGTACTAGCTACCTCATTACCGATTAAATATATTGAGACAGGGCCAAAATGAAGCAATCAAGTCCGGGATGGAGGAAGAAGGATGATGCTTCCAAGGTGAACACAGCCAAGGCAAGAAATTCAATTACGAAAATTCTCAAAATAAGCTACACCAGAAGCTCGCAGAAGAAACCATGTTTCTGCCAATGAAACCTGATCACCGAGAGCGCAAGTTCACCGAAGGCGACGCGTTCGAAGGCACGTATATGGAACAAGCGTCGGAAGCACCGTTGGAAAACCAGATGCAAGAGCGAACCCGGATGGTTCCACGTGGATTGACTTGGTCCTCAAATTATTAGTGATGAACATTGTCTGTTTAATGTTTACAGCAACAGTGATATTGCTCATCATGAGGCCACACTGGCGGGGGCGTGGAGGATGTTGCAAATTGTGTAGAGGATGAGGAGCGACATTATCATCATCGGGGATTAGAGCAGTGCATTCGCAATAAAGATGATGTCGACGGGAGGGCTTCCCCATGGGCACGGCCGCTCGTCCTTTTCTCCACAACAATAGCTAATGTTTTAAACAAAAATATAGCAGTTAATTCCTCGTGAAAAGGAGCTTTACTTTCAAGGTTCACCATTCACTAGCACTATCACTAGCACCATTCACTAGTACCATTCACTATCGACTAGCACTGCATGTGCTAGCTTGCTCTCGCCGATGCAGCGGCCATGAAAAACGCCACACTGCCGATTTTTGTTGACATCTCACTAGCACTATTCTTGTATCATTTCTCGGTGCTTTCTGACATTAATGAAAAACAATAATCTACTTTATAATATAAATACTGCATGAAAAAAATTGTATTCTTTAATTTAAATGGTAAAATGATCAAATTACGCCGCATTTTCGTACAGCACATGGCGGCTAGTTGTAGCGCGATGTTCGCTAGTCTAGTGTGTTTCTGTGAGGTGTCCCAATGTGAATGTTACATGAAATAGTTATTTTTTAGTCCACTTTATCTCTGGAAACTGCTGTGGGTGATGCCCAGCACGTTCGAATAGTTTTTATTGCTGTACTGTGTGCGATGTCTTGGATACATGAGTGTCGACCAAGGGACGGTGATTTGCTCAGCTCCAATTCTTCCAATTGGAGGTAAGTAATGCACTTATATATTCCAAATATAAGTGAACGTTTGGCCTGAATGCTCATGGGTTTCATTAATCACGCTGTCATGCTACCTGACTGTACGCAATTATATATAAGTGATCGGTTTGTTTAAGCAGCCTTTGCCTCCAATAATCCTATGGTGCACATGCCTCTATGCCAGTGGTTCTCCGCCACTGATGTGTCGGGGACCCCTTGTGGACTAGAGAAAGTGATGGGGGACCCCTTGCAGTGGAGAGGAAAGAGGGGGGGGGGGGGACACGGAATTAACACAGCTGGAGTGTGAAACAGGTGCCTTTTATTGCTACCAAAAACTTCCAACAAACGTGCCACATCCCTTTATTTTGGACAGTATCTATATATGGCACAGTCACGCTTAAATGAAAATGCGGATGAGGTTTTCAAGGATCACAGAAATGGCTTCGCGGACCCTCATTTGAGAACCGCTGCTCTATGCAACAAATGCCAGTAGTTGCACATGTTTAGAGTTAATTCATATAACGTCTCTTTTAAGCAATTCAAGCCCGATATAAATAATCGTCTTATACCCACAAAAAAGTCAAGTTGGAAACTGTGAGCATCAGTGGCGTGTCCAGGGCGTAATACCGTATCTGCCCCCCCCCTCCCCTTTTGCTGTGGTATGCAGGATGCAATATAACACTCAACCACATATCGTCTGGCCTGGCCTCCACTTCAGATCAAGGAGGTTTTTCCCCTCCCCTTGAAAAAAAATTTATGCCTATGCACCTGGTTCAGTTGTTCCATTTCTTGAGTGAATGCAATTTTGTTCTTGCTTATTTGGCATTCCCTCTCTCTCTCTCTTTTTTTTTTTTTTTTAAGAATGTTTGGCCTAGTGGACCAAGACCAAGCACTGAGATGTGATGGTGGCTGCCCATGGGCTACAGAAGATATAAAGAGGACATGAAGCAGGCCAAAGACTAATATAGAAGGCAATAAATAATTTGCTAAAACATGGCCTCCTTATTGCATCAGGACAGGCACTTATCCTTGGGAACATCATGCTTTCTGATTTGGAGCGTCCCCGATATCTTGCCGGAACGACTGTCAGTTCCTGCAGGAAAATTTCGCGTTTCCGGAGGGAACGACTTCTATTTCCAGCGAGAATTGTTTTCATTTCTGGCTAGAACGGCTCCCATTTCCGGCCAGAATGATTCCCATTCTCGGCCAGAACGGCTGCCATTTCCAGCCAGAATGGATTCCATTTCCGGCACTAAAAAATCTGGCTGGAAACTATTTTCTGTCTCATAATCCAGCCAAGACTGGAAATGCTTTCCAGCTGGGTATTTCTTAGCATTTTTGGGCATATCGTATTTAAAAAAGGGACAATATCGCGCGCAGTTCTAGAATGTTTCGCACTGCTCCTTAGTCGGGGCCAAGATGTGCTTTGGGGGACATCTTGTCATTAGGAGAAGCTCTGCAGCAGGCGCCAGCACACAGTCCCCCGGCGAAGTGTGAACCTAACACGTAACCAGAGGAGCTATAGGATTTCACACAAAGGTCAGAAGCTATGCACACTTGCGGTGGAGGAGACAACTCGAGGATGTAAACAAAACAAACCCATGAATGGCTGCGGATGTCTCAGGCTGACGCAAAACATCGTCACCATAAAACTTGAAGCTGATGTGCCGTCATCCTCGAACTCTAAGCTCGTCCTCACTCGGTTCAGGTGGGGTTGCAAGACAGTTTCAAGCAGCACATGTGTTTTGCAGCGCTGGTGCGTACACATGCGCGCGTGATGACTACGTCATACGAGCGACTAGTGACACTATATGAGATCCTGTGTTTGATATAATGATGCGAGAAAAACCAAAGCTGCTGGAAACTCTCAGAGAAGGCCATCTCGAATCTTTAAACACGGGGCGAACTTTCATAATTATTTTAACGCAATAGCATTAGAGAGCTCGTGTGGCAGAAATTCCACCGTCGACATCGGCCTCGTTAGTTGTGAGCGAAAAATCGTCCGTGAAAGAAAAAGCTCATTACAGAGATCGCTGCGGGAGGCCACTACTTGTCCATGCATTCGCGTGGGATCACACTGAGAAAGCCGTGCATTCGAAGAAAAAAGAAAGAAGAAGTGCCCAAGGTCACGAGGCGCGAGTAATGTAGTTTCTTTGCCCCTTCCACCTCTCCCTGCTTAGCTTCCAGGGTTTTCGTCGGGACGAGAGAAGAGAGAATGCAATTGTAGCATGCGACAAACCTTTGTAACTCTACTCGCACTGGACAAATTCTTAAAATTTTTGAGCCGTTGAATTCATGAGGCAATAAGCTCTTCTAGTGAATGCATTCCATGGTTGCTTGAAAAAGTATATCAGGGCCCCTTTAACGCATTTTGTTCGACAGGTGTCATGATGAAAACGAGCCCATTCGGCAATTTGTAGGCACATTTGGGAGGCCTCAAATTACATCGAAAAAGGCCGGGATAGTGCAGCCATCGCCGCTAAGACCACACAGGAACTTTAAACAGCTCTAAAAATGGACAACTATGTCCATCTAGCAGAAAACATATCATGCCTTTCCAGAGGCGTTGATTAAGCAAACAGCAAATCCTAAATAATGTGCTGCCATCTGTGAGGAAACGCCATAAGTGCGTTTCAAGCTTCTTTTTTGCAAAAGGTAGACAACTGTAGACAAGTTATTGCAAGTTGCTGTACCTGTTGTGCCGATGAGATTTGACCCTTGCTCCCCCAGAGGGTTCCTGGCGCATCCCTCCAGAAGCCAAAGGAGGTGGACTTCCAGATTCAGCTGTTGCAGCTACCGTGGCTCCTGATGCTGCCACAACTGCAGTGGCATCACCAAGGCAGTTGGTTGCACTAACACAGCTGGTGGAGTCTGTGCTACGTTCTGCAGCACTGCTTGTAGATGGTGAAGAAGTAGATGGTGCCAAGTCATCCGCCTTTGTCTGTGGCGTGCAGGAAGGGCTGCCAGATGTGCTCTCAGATGCAGGAATTGATGCATTTAGCGCCGCTGCCACAGGGGTAGTAGAGGTGCTGTAGTAAGAACTAAGTGGCGGGCTTTTATACATTTGGTGGACCTCTTTGTCCAGCAAGCGATCCATAATCTGCAAAAAAATTTGGAGCAAGAAAAAAAAAAGAAAATGAAGGACAGGTCTAACCAGCAGAGCATACTTTGAAGCTCATTCATATTTCAATGTGAACGGTGCATTTAGAATACGTTAAAGGGAAATGCGGGTCGAAAAACCCCAGTTTTCTAAAAAACTTGATTTTTTTATTTCACTTGTTTTGATAAGATTAGTACCTAAACTGTTCTAAAAAAATATTGATATCGAGACTCAACTAGAATTGCTTTAAAATTGAGTCTAAAGAGCACAATGTGACTGTTCAAAAGGCTAAAAGTGTGCAGTCATGTGCAGCTGCTCGCCATTGTCGATTATATGAGGCAAAGAGCTGAGCCTCACTCCTCAAATAAGGACAGTTTCCCTCACTGTTGCAGTGCAAGAAATAATAAAAAGAAGCATGCTTTTGCAGCATTTTTCGAGTGCCGCGACTGGCTTTCAAGTCACGTGGTAGAGATCAGGGACCAACATTGGACGCTGCGTACCTGCGTGTGCTGTAAAGCCTACTTGCAGGGTCTGTGTCTCTTCGAACAGAGCAGCTGAACGCTTTTCTCGTGGGTTTATCTTTGCTATAGATTAAGAAAGCCATATCTCACGCGATAGCTACGGTGTGAACGTGAAGGCTGTTGTGGTGGCGCGCTCTGGAGGAATGGGCTAGGAGCAGTTGGTTTGATTTGTAGCAATTCTCAGCTTGCGAAAGCCAATGCATCATAAGTCATTCACAGCCATCAGCCAGAAAGTCCATGATGCGGCAATGGATGCCATCTGCGCCAATCTAGCAAAGTCGAGGAGCTCACAGAAAGGAAAGTTAGCAGGGATGATATTGCTGTTATGTACGACGGTACGTGGCACAAATGCGGCCATAGGAGCCACAATGGCATCAGCACTGTTGTGTCCCTCGACACTGGACTTTATTTAGATTTCGAAGTCCTGTCGAACTTCTCCCTAGCTTGCAGTCAGCCCGAGCTCTCCCAGAGAGATCAGAAGTTTGGCAAGAGTTTTATGGCCCTGTCTGTGAGCGAAATGTCTGTGAAGAGTCAGCTCGAAAGAGCCTTGAGCGACAAGCTCATGCTGCTAGTGCATTTTAGTGGCAGCGGCCACTACAAGAAGGACTGTTCTTTTCTGTGTGTAAATTTCATCGCACTTAATTATATTTCATAAATAAACACTCAATTTCAACTTTAAAACGCGTTTTTCTCAAAACAAAAACTTTGCCTTTTTTTCCCCATGTGCCCCTTTTTCGCGTACGTCTGGTGCTCCGATATGCATAAATTTTTGCCCAATTTTTTTTTTCTTCAAATTATTGGAAATGCAATTATCTTGATTAAATTTCCATATTGTTATTAATAATAATTTTTATGTAAACCTTTACTAAGGTACGAGAAATATGGCATTTTTCATGTCTATTATTTTTCACATCTATTACATATTTTGTATGCACTTCCTAATCACTTTTATGCATCTAATCACTTTTATGCATTCTAGTTATGAACTATCAATGCTAAAAAATTATGGAAGTTTAGTGATTAAAAGAGGGGGGGAGGCAAAAGGCTCAAAGGGACACTAAAGGCAACTATGACGTTGACTGTTGTGTTGAAATAGCAGTCCAGAAACCTCATAGTGTTACTCTTGTGCCAAGGAAGGGCTTATTTTGAAATAAAACAGGGTTTTAGTGGTCCACATTGAATTGGCGCACTTCAAATTACCCGCCTCAACGGAACGTCTGATGTCACAGTTGCCGTGCACAACGTTGCCCAGCTTAGATGCGCGGCCGTTGACACTACAGTAGCAACAGAGTGAAAGCAGTGATAGCCACAGCATAAATAAAGGCCATTCAACAATTTTGAGCCATGGCCTTCAAAATTGCAGGTGTGCTTGGTTCAACTGCGCCCCACTAGATGGAACGACCAGTTCAGTTTAACCACACGAAAACAATTATTGAACCACTTGCACCATTCCCCATAGAGACGACCGCCGGTTCTTTATTCAATGAATGAAACAGAAACTAACAAGCAGCATTTTATGGCATCTCTTGATGCATGGAAGGTTCTTTATTTGGTGCAGCTAGATTACTAGTTATTAATTGTAAGCGGTTTATCTGATGTCATCAGAATTATTTTGAGAACGTCATACTGCGGCGCATGTATTCTTATGCATTTACCTTAATTTCTCGGTAAGCAGGGCACTGCTATTGATAATATTGTCATTTTAGACATTGTCAAACATTGAGCTTTCACTTTGACGTAAATTGTTATTTGACTTTAATGTCCCTTTAAGGTTTTCACTTTGTCATGTTGCAGAACTAAAAGTATGCAACTTGCACGAAAACTAATCATATATTTGAAATCAATATAGTAAATTCTAAAGTGGCTTAGGTTTCATTGCTGTAGTGTGAATATTAAAAAAAAGTGCCTTCGAGTGGCATCTGCCCTTAAATTAGTGGTTGAGTATGCTGCATCTAACCTATTGTGAAACTGCGTTTGGGCACATCTGCACGGCGCGTGCACAGAGCTCTTCATAAACTGACGAGGACGACGATCGATTGTCTTTAGAATAAAACTGCATTCCCTTATGGAGTATGTATGCATACTTCGTGAAACAATAGAGGCAAAGCTGCTGCTGCTGAACATCAAGATATAGAATTTCAGAAAATGTAGCTCGTATGTTTTGTTTTGCTCAGATGCTCAAAACTACCTTGAACTTTGGCAACAATAGTATGGTTAACCACTTCTAGAATTATTGATGCTCCTTTTTCAATTTTGATTACGTGGCATTTTCAGTACATTAGCCCCTCAATAATTCAAACTCTGACGGTTAAAACAAAGCAGAGTTTCAAATTTTTAGTTGGCCGGCTATGTTTTCAATGCATTTTAAAGCCGCTGAATTCAAACTGCCCCACAGCAAGAATTCGGTTAATTGAAACTTTTTGCTTGTCCATGCATAGAATTAATTTACCTTCGTTAATTACAGCTAGAGATTTACCTTTTTATGCAACTAACAGTTGCAAATAGAGCTAATTTCCTGCATAAAAGGCAGCCAAACTAGCCAAACCGTGCACACCAATTATCACATGCTGAACTAAAAAAAAAAAAAGAAAGAAAGAGACAGCCTGGCCTTGACAGTGATGAGCAGGATTTGGAAGCAGCCGAAAGAGAGTTTCGGAGCAGAAAAAAAAAGGCTTTCGGAGCCACTAAAATTGCATTTCAGACCATGGGAACGTGCTTTCAGAGCAGCCAAAAGTGTACTTTTCAGCAGGAAAAAAAGAGCAGCTAAAGCAGTGGCGTAGACAAGGGGTGGCACACCGAGCCTGTGCCCCCCCCCCCCCCCCCCCCCAACTTCAGATATAGTAACAGATTCAGGAGAATAAACACCAAAAACTAGTTTATTATGGGCGAACCCTGAAAGTTATGTGCAAAAATGGAAGAGTCCGCTACAGCGTTCCAAAACAAAAACTGTTTATCCACCAACGCGCATTCTTTCTCGCAGGTCCCACCCACACAGACTCGCGCCCGTGAACGAGAGGCACGAGTCGTGCGGCTAAAAGCATGAGCGTGCACAAGACTGAACGCTAATTGGATAGTGTAATTAGTCTCTGTGGCAATATTAAGGTGGTGCCCCCTCCTTCCTAAAAAATTTCTACCTACGCCCCTGTGCTAAAGGCTCATTGGGAAAAAAAAGAAAAAAGAAAATATGTGTCGAGGGCGTGCATTGTCTTCCTAGGAAAGGTTGTAGCATATTTGTAGGGCACTGGAGAAGCTTTCATTACGCGCAAACCGTGCGCACGCTCCGGACCGAACGTGCCCGCGTCAAGTGTTCAGTACAGCTGTTAAGACTTTTTGTCCGGAAAATAGTTACGTCGTCCTACAGTGCAGATATTGTGTGTGCCTCCTCAATTCCACCATCAGTGCAGGCAGCCTTCCCCAAATTTGATGTCTTTGTGAAGCCGGCTTTCACCTTTTTCACCATCTAAATGTGAATTGGTACGATGCCCGAGTCCATACTTTCGAAAACTTTTGATAATTCGAACAAAATTCTGAGGTCCAATTGTGTTTGAATTATCAAGAGTCTGTTCTACATCCAAACCTCATTAGTACATACCCACATTAAGCATCCTAACAGTTAAAACGTACTGTAAAAACCAAAATATAAGTCGACCCCCTCCCCCCCCCCCCCCCCCCCCCCCCCAACCTTTGAATCTCCGAAAAAGACATTTTTAAAAATCTCAAAGTATTGCAGCACACCCTTACCTTGATAAGTACGCGACACAATCAGCTGCACTTTGGTGACGTTTATGAGCTCAACAATGTCTGTTTTGCACTAGTTACGTCCCAGAATGCACCATCCTCTGTTTCATCCAGTGCGTAACTGATGCAGCATTTGCGGAAAGACTTGCACACCATCTCTTCCGGGAGAGATTTCCAAGCTGACAACACCCAGCCACTAACAGTTTCGAGCAGTGGACGTCGCAGGCGGCCAAAAGGCGTGTTGAAATTGTCGGCCAGCATCCACTCATTGCAGAGCTTCTGCACATCATCTTTAAAGGGTTTATTGAGCACTACGTCCAGTAGCTGGAGGATCGATGCTAGTCCCCCGGAGTTCAAGACAAAAACAGTCTTGGCATTGGACAGAGCTCTCTTAACATCAGCTGTGAGGTGGCCTCAAAATGAGTCGAGCAACAACATGCTTGGATGCTGAAACAGCGCACCGGGTCGCCGATTACACACATGCCGGATCCACTCAAGCATGAAAAACTCATTCATCAACCCTTTTTGTTCGCTCTCACGATAATATGCGAAGGAAAGTCTTCTTTTGATAGCCCTTTTCTCTTCAAAATAATATAAGAGGGCTGCTCATTGCCCGTTGTCAAAAGCTTCACTTGCTTTGATCCTTTCGCAGTTACAGTACAGTTCGAAGGCATACTGAACCAGATCGGCATTTGAAATTTCGTCAACGTTGCCCGTGTGTCCCATCATGCATTAATGCTGTTGACAAAGCGCTGATACTCGACTAGCTTGTTATCGAAAATTTCGGGCAGTTTTTGACACACGAAAGTATGCCACCTAGGTGCAAAGCCGTTGAATTGTGCCTTCATGAGCCCAGAGTCAGGCGCTACCTCCTAAAACAGTTTTTTTTTTTTTGGAGAGGGGGGGGGGGGGGATTGCTGGAAGATATGATGCGCTTCTTTTGGCTCCTCCAGTATCAGACTCTTTTCTCCGATGCCCTGAATTTCCCGTTGTGCCGCCAGGTTGCCGGGCGCTTTGGCATACTCGAGAATTTTTTTTTCTTAAAGCATATCGTAACCTGCTGTTGATTACCACACATATCGGAATGAAATAGAAGAAAAAAAAAATGGCAGACTTACAAAGATAACCGAAGAAAAATGGCATTGCTAATACACTATAGGCCTTGCCTAGCCGCTGCTGCTCCCGATGGCAATGGAGGCTTTTGACTTCAGCTGCCCATTGTTGTGAGACTTCCACATCTTTTTTTCTGCCAATGACCGGTAATATAAGATGAGGATTGACATTTAATCGCGTTTAAAAAAATTCAACCTATATTTCGGTTTTCACGGTAGTTGCGACAAATCCCCAAAAGAGTCTCATAGAGACTGATGCGTTCGCGAACCGCTTAAGCCATAGATAGTAGTTTGTCTAATGCCTACAGTTTAGTGCATACCAACTGCGTACCATGATAACATTTTGGGCTATGGAAGTTTATTGCATCATTGAACTCACAGACGCCACAATGTGCCACAAATGGTTTTCCATCATTTTGATAATTGCGAAGACCGACCTATGACTTATCCCAACTTCAGCACGATTGCAGCGATGCTTTTGTGAGTATAGGAAAAAAAAACAAAGAAAGTCAAAGTGGCGACCATTGACAAACACACCGGTACAGCTTATCACCATCGAAAAGCGTCATCACAGCAAGAACCCCAACTATCTCCTCAGGCACATGAGTGGCATAGCAACGCTTTAAGCCTGTTGCATGCTTTTAATAGGCCACTATCTGAACTGACTGGGTGACAGATCGCTGCTGCTGCTTTGTTTTGCAGGGCCGTGTTCAAGAGGGCACCACTACGCAAAAACACAAGCACCTCGCTGTCATGGAGTTTAGCGTTGTGGGTCGCTGGCACTGAGAAACCTTGCCATATTGCCACTAACACACGCACTGTACAGCAAACGTAGCGCTGTTGTAACCATAGGCAGGCCAAATTAGTCTCTGTCCCCTGCCAGGGCTGCTAGCGCCCCAGAGAGTGCTCATAGTTTCCAGAAAGCTCACCATGTTGACCCAACAGGCTATTGGCTGCATATTTGCATGGTCTGAACCAGAGTGGGCACACGTTCTGCAGCCAGTGGAGTGGCAGTCACTGCCAGTCACTGCGTGCACCGAGTAAGCAAAGCGCTGCGCTAAGACTAGTATACAATTTGGCTCTCTCCGACCGTCACGCATTAAAAAAAAAACTTGTCCTTTTCACTTAGAAGCAAACTGTGGAACGCATGTATCGCAGACAACCGGTTATATCTGTTCTATCGCCTATCCCGGACCCCGAAGTATAGTTTTGAAATACTCCTTGGTGTCACCACCACGTGCGATGGCCGACGGTTGTGCAAGAGTGAGAGCACTTTTCCTGCACTTTGAAAAATAAAAAATAAAAAATGGCTTTGTAGGCAGAAATGGCGCACGTCAAGAGATGCAAATTTGTAGCGGGTAGTCACCGTATAGTACATTTAGTGTGCAGTAATGCCGCCATTCTTGGCAGGTACAAGTTAATGAGGTTTCACTGTATTTGCGTTGGAAAGGTGATCAGACACTAGCAGTATAAGCCTGGTATATCTGCTTCAGTAAATTCCACCCACAGTCAGAAAAAATACGAACCTTGGCAAGTTTTTCTTGATCATCTTTATAGAACACCAGCAAAGTAATGCTGAGGTCACCCCTCTGCCGTCTTGTTCCTTCGCACAATAATGGATGCTCAGCTTCTGATACATTTGCCTTTAATCCTGGAAATAAACAAGTAAAACATAATAAAAAGTGGAAGATATCTTACCGCATCTGAAAATATGGCTAGCTTGAAGCTTAGGGTTTACTGTGACATGTAAGCATGCTTACCTAAAGCAGCTACAGCTGCTTCAAAACCTAAAGCTTCATCTGATGACAGCTTAGTGCCTGGATTTGGTGCACCTTTAGTGTTGTTCTCTGTAAGGAAAACAAGAACTTGCTGAGCACAGCTACAAGTCTTGCACAAGTTTTGTAAGCACGTAAGCGTTGAGAGTTGAGACAAGCAAAAAAAAGTAGTATTTACGACTGTATTTATGATGGATGGCGTACTATCTAAACAGCTCAGTTGAAAGAGCAACAAAAAATCTAGTTAATAATGATTACAATGAACCACAATGTTTTAAAAAGAAAGGTTCTTTACGTACTACCAATAACTGGGAGGTGTACACGGGGAAATGGCAGAACTTTTCAAACACCACTATCTATTGATTGACCATTAAATGGCCCCTAAGCCACCTTGGATAATGTTTTAACATCCCAAGCAAGCGAATGCATCAAGTTCAGAATGCCGCCACAATGAGCAATGCTAAGTGTGGCAGACTATGAGCCAAAAAATCGTCTTCTCTTCGGGCCTTTCAATAATTCTCAGTGTTGGCAATGAAGTCGACATTTGGTTTGGTCGTGTCATCCATAAAAAGACCCTCTTTGCTACAAGTAGGTATGTGTGCTCACTGCTCTGCCTCCTCGCATGGCACGAAGAAGCACTCAGGCAGGAGAGAGACGAGCCAATTAACGGCGAATAGCGATGGAAAGAGCGAAGACGGAGTGGACCTTTTTTGAATAATTAAACAAGTCTAGCTCTGCTATAGCGGCACCACTTTGAAAAATTCTTGTGGCTGCAAGCTTGTAGAAGACTAGTACACAAATTCGACAACTAAATTTCAACTTCTGCATGGTTTATGGGCCTTTAAAGGGGCCCTACAACCCCATTTCAGCATGGTCAGAAAATGCTGCCGATCGGCAATCGAGGATCACCAGAACATGCGAGCCGAACATTCTAGTCCAATGTTGTAGCCTAGCATGCGACGTGGGAATTTACAACAAACTCTCAAAGTCAGCTAGAAATCACTCCCTTCTCTCTCTTGAAAAATGATGCCATAGACCCAAATAATTGCACCATAAACCCAAAGTCCACCACCAATGGCTCATCGCTGCACTGTGACCTATATAGTTGCTACAAAGCCGTAGGAAGCCCTGATTGCCAACAAGCAGTCAGTCTGAAAGTAAGGCATATGTTTGTAGCAACAAAAATAAAAAAAGTGCTCAACGTCATGATGCACGCTGACGAACGGACATAGCTTGTTACCGCCTCGTCATCATCCTCCCAGCTTAGCTTTCAGCAGACCTGCTGGTACAACAGGAGCAAGAATGCACATAAAGCGTAAAGAATGCACATAAAGCGTAAAGAAAAACCCCACAGAACTGATTATAAATGACTGATTCTAAACAATTTAGCGCCAAATGATTCGCGAGGCAATAAACTCTCTTAATGAAACCATTTGATGATTACTTGGAGGAATGCTGCAGGGCCGCTTTAAAATCGAAATGCTGCAGCCACACAGAAAAAAAGAGTAGAAGGTTTAAAAAAAAAGTCAGAAAGAGAGAGAGAGAGAGAAAAAAGACTGAGGGCTAATAGAACAAACATAGCACAATAGTCGGTTACTACCAAAAAAGAATGTAAGCTATGGCCACAGCCATCACTATTCCTCCCACGGAGAAATTGCATACTTGCTCCATCCAATAGTGATACATGATTTTGGTGACATCAAGCATTTCTCGAGTTGTATTTCTGATTATTTGACTTTCCCTATGTAGACACACGTTTCTGTCGCTGGTTTTAAGTTGGAAAGTTGGAACTCCTAGTAATTAAATTTAATCAAAGATTCTGACATCACCTAACTTAATGTTCTGCGTAGTCCTGACAAACATTTTTAGCTTTTTATATGCATAGTATTTACACCAGCCAAGACAAAGTTGAAGTGGTTCAAACAGAAACTAGCTAACAAGACGTGTGAAGAGTAGCTGATGCAGTCAAAATACACAAAAATAAATTCAAGCACAACACTCCGACCTCAATTTTCTCTTCTAATAATTACCCTGGGATAGCAAAATAAATAGCATTCTAAAAGATTGAGTTATGTGTCTAAGTAGATTTATTGCTTCTCTTTAGTGTCCCTTTAAATCATATGAGGAGAACGTTGGCCTCGTACCTACAGAAGATGACGTAACCATCAATGCATGTCAAGCCAAGGTTACTGAACAATTCGGTCAGTTTTCATGCTGTGCTTATCAAACTTGGCAATGCTAGAGCTGTCTCCACTGCACTTTTGGTTTATGTTGAAAGTAAAATTCTTAATAATATTAATATTACACTCAAATCTCATTACAACGAAGTTGCACCCTATAAGAAAGTAAGTTTGTTATATCCAAAAGTTTGTAATAAAACATATATATGCCTAACACTACAACTGTTCATTTACTTTGTCATAAGCAATATTTCACAATATTGATATTTGAGTGTATATAGTAGTAGTAGTAGTAGTAGTAGTAGTAGTAGTAGTAGTAGTAGTAGTAGTAGTAGTAGTAGTAGTAGTAGTAGTAATAATAATAATATCTGGGGTTTCATGTACCAAAACCGCGACATGATTATGAGAGATGCTATAGTGAAGGGCTCCAGAAATTTTGACCACAAAGACATTGCACAGACGTAGCACGGTACATGAATGCAAAATGCATGACAAAATGAGTTACTATAAAACAGAGCTAAAGAAAATGTAAGTGCCGTTTCACAACAAACGTAAAAAAGATTACCTTTCATGATATTACAGGGTGGCAGTTTAATTTTCTTTATGACAACCCATAAACAAACAATTAGACACAACGGTCACTCCAGGACACACAGGGAACTTGATTTCTGAGCGCTAATTCCACTTACTGGAAAGCACCAGGGCATCGAAGATGTAGCTTGAAAGCATCAGTGGAAGCAATGCGTCACCCCGAGACTGCAGCCTATGATCGCGTAGTGCTTCCGCCTTCTCTCTGATGTCATTCAACTCTGCATCCCCCAATGGTATCTTCTTCAACAGGCTAACGAGATCTTGCTCTTGGTTGGCCAACTTGACCTGTACAATACACACCGCAGACAGTATGTATGCAAAGTAAGCAACTGTTTGCTATTGATTCTATCGATCGAGTGTCTCAGTACAACCATTAGAATATAGAGGCACAGAGTATACGAGCATTCATGTTGGAGTTTACAATTCAAGGTTGCAGAATATTTGAGTCCGCATAAGTATAAGAGATAACCAAAATAAGTGGTTCTTTGAAGCAGTAAGACCAATGTATCACAAGACCATATTTAATAGCTCTGTTGCAGGCCAGCCACAGTTGTTTCACAGAGGCACACTATTTATAAATGAACACACGAAGCAGATAACTTGTTTTTAACTCTTTTTATCCTTAAGATGAATGCCACGCTTTATAATCTCTTTTTCAAAACCTTTCAAAGGTCGCTTTTTATCTGTATTGCTAAATTAAGCCTCATAATATTGACTTTAAAATTTAACATTTCAAAGAAAGAAGACTTTATGAAAAAAATAAAATATTTTTTACGAACAAATAAGTGAAAATAAAAATATTTTGCTGTGATTTAGATGCACTGATTGTTTATAAATAACGAGAATAGAGATAAAGTTATACAAAGAATACAAATACTAGATGGCTCAGAATAAATATGCTTAAAAAGTTGCGGGGTCTCGATGTGGAGAGAGTGCCACGCTCTTGGAGTGAACGGACACAGTAGACACGGTCGAAACGAACCAAACAACACATGTTTATTTGACTGCATTTAGACCGACAATATCGCCAGCCGAATACACACATCAATTGTGATCAACACGCTATAACATCCTTACACAATATTCCACAACACTCGACAACATAACAAACACAAGAACACACACAAAGCGGCTTTGTAAATGTTTGGCTCACCACGAGGGCCTCCGGCAGACGACTCGTGGTGCCGTACTTAGCGGGCCCATGGGCGAGACAACCGTTCGCGCTCGGTAGCTGTGACTTGCTCAATCTCTCTCCTGTGCCGCCACGCAGGCTTGCTGCCACGCGTCACCGTTCAAACCATGATTATGATGATGGTGGTGATACGCACGCTGGCGAGCAGCACGCCACCTACCGCTCGGTAGTTGTGACTTCTGAATGCGACCTATGCACGAAACACATGCATCACGAGGCCCAAATTACTTTACAGGAGGTCTAAGCACCCCCACATCCCCCCGACCTTAATTCAAACCATATCCCGGGAAAAAACAACAACAAAGAAATCCGCTACAAGCTCTAACAAAAGATGACAACACATGTTCCTACAGAATGTCCATGCACCATGACACCGCCGCTGCTGCACTGTCCAGCTCGGCGACTTCACCTCAGTATCGATCCCGCAACAACGTTGCCATCGGCGCGAGAACCGTCACTCGCGCCGACAGATCTTCTGGTTGCGACCAGCACTCACGAGGGCGTCGCAGAGCAGGCAGTGGCACAGGTCCCAGGCACGTCCATCGTCCGATCTAATGACCGTATTCCTGGCCACCGACAAGGACGGATGTCCAGAAGACAGCCAGCCGCGGGTTACATCACTCCCGCTGTGTACATTCAAAACACTCGACGAAACAATGCAGTAGGGCAAAGGGAAGGGAGCTTCGGGCTCCTCGCCCACATGGTACGATGGTCACTACTGCTAGCAAATAGATCGGCGGTGACCGAGACACCCAGCTAAAATAAAACAAAGGTCGCTTTTCCAAATTTATGCATCAGAAGATTAAAAAAAATTGAGGGAAGCAGAATGCAACGCCTCAATGCCATGATCCTCCTAGTTGTGCCATGTGCGACAGGCTGCTGCGCAGAGCCTTAGGCCTAATAAGTCACTTGACAGCAACTGGCATCCACCCAGCACCCTGTCTAGGCGCAGAAGAGGCAGCGGCAAAGAGACATCCACTCTGTAAGGTGGCCCTATTTGCTTGCCGCACACAGCAGCTTACCGATCGATCGGCACCCACAGTCTGAGACGGTGTCACGACGCCCCAGCGTTGAGCCGCAAGACAATTGACAGCAATGACGGCAGACTCCCTGAACCCAAAGAGATAGAAGAAGCTATTTACAGAAAATCTGACCACCCACGAGGCTTCCGTACTCACTCGCTTCAGGCTTGGCCTACAACCAATGTGCTCTAAGCTTTGCTCACCCTAGGATGCAGACCGCGTGGCTCTTGTGCCCCAAGGAGCGACATCTCCTCGCTCTCAACAAAGCACATCACCGACGCTAGCAATGGAAGTCCTCCTAGGCCTACTCTACCCCAGTTCAAACAAAAGGTTGTACAGAACCGCGAGAACTGTCTTTCGATGCGAAGCGAGAATCGGGGGGGGCTACATGTTGTGGAAATCATCACGATCTTTTCTGGGCGACAAGCGATTTTTCTGGATGTTCAGAAACCTGCAATGCGATAGCAACGAATGACCCTTTGCGACAACGAATCCTGTCGTCGTCGCTCAAAAATCGCGTGCATGTCGTTGGGCTTGAAAGTTTCGTATTTGCAGGAAATGACCGTCGATTGGCACGGGTAGGTTCGTGACCTTCGCTCGCTGCGTGCTTATCAGCTGCAATGTCTACACTCGCACTGTTTGTGAGCTTCGCTGTGACGCACAGAAAGAAAAAAAAAAACAATACGGCACGCGGCACGGGCGAAGGGAGCGAATCGAAATGGCCCGGGGGGGGGGGGGGGGGGGGGTTGGCAAAATAGTAAAAAAAAAAAACTGAAGAGATCCAGCGGGTGAGAAGGCGCCAGGTGTCGGTGAGCAGGACTGCAGCAGATTAATGTAGGGGGTGCGTTTATTATGCGGGGAAAAAAATCCAAATTTTGATGACTGAAGTTGGGGGTGCATTTATTATATTATGCGAGAGCATTCATTAAACGAGTAAATACGGTACTCCCTTCCCCCAATCTTCCGGTCCTCCATTATTCAGGCAAAACCACAAGGGGGTCCCCGATGCACCCAGTGTTAAGAAGCATCACCATATGCAATTGCCATATAGTGGTTTTAGGAATGTGCCAGAACTTACTTCAAGAGCCTTTGTTGAAGCTGGTGGCCGAGACATCTCCAGCCCAAACAGTCCAATGCGAAAGGCCAAGTGATGATGTTCTTGGTTTTCACCCAGCACTTGGCATAGGAAAGCAGCCTTGGCCAAAGTTGCCGATGCCAAAAGGCTCACCTAGGGAGAGAAATAGTACACATTGTAGTCCAGTGAAGCCTCGTTAATATGTACTACATATATCACACTGAGAAGTCGTTTGCACCTCGCGGCACACACATGTGTCGCAGATAGACCGCATTTAGGGTTAATAACCATTTAGCGGTAGGTGGCACAGTGCTCGTGCAGGGTAAACGATCATCATCATTATGGTTGGCGCCAGCAGATTGGGCGGCGACACGAGACATGAGTGGCTCTCTTTGCCATGTGGCGGCTAACGCGAAAGGTCGTCTCCCGTGGTGGGTCCATGGGGGCAACACCGAAGGTAGTCTCCTGTGGGCCCGTCATGATGAGTCTAGCATTGGTGACGATGTCTTCGCGTTGTTTTGTGTTTGTTAATTATATTGACTGAAATATTGTATAAGGTTGTTTCAGTGTGTCACTAGTGATGCATTTCATTTGGCTGGTAATATTGTCGATGCAAATGTAATTGAATAAATGTAAATAATGTTTGGTTTAGATCGACCAGGTCTACTGTGTCCATGTGCTCTGAGAGCGGTGATCTCATTTCGAGACCCCCCACAACATGCATGCAGCGACTGCAAAATAAAAAGACACATGATCACTAAGCACAAGAAGTCAGAGCATATAAACTCTGAACAGACAACTAATTCCAGTTAGCATTTCAAACTCAAAGAAATGAAAGAATAAAAAAATATAGAGAAAGAAAAGAAGGGGCCTGCACTTGTATGGAGGTTTTCAACATGGCTGCATTTCCTTCCAGTATCATGAAATACAAGTGCATTTGGCAATGGAAGTGCACTAAAAACAGTCATTCATAAACAAGTACCCAAGTTCTGAAAGAATTACTGATAGGCACCAGGATAAGCTCCTGTTTTTACCAGAAAGATGAAGCGCTGATAGTAACAGCAACAGAGATTGATAGCCATAAAAATGTTTGCAACTTTATCAGCCCAACAGTTTGTGGTAAATATTTTTAACTAAATAAAGTTTTTGGGGAAAGGGTAACGACACGAACCTGGTGCCAGACCGGGTTGAAACGACGGCCACGGCGGTTGCCGGTTGTCTTCCCAGGCTGAGCTGATGCGATCAAACCTTCCACTTCCAAACTTGGTGGATGAGCCAGAAGCTCATGTGCCAGGCGCACTGCCAGTTTGCTGGCCTCCTGAGTGTGACCATGAGCATGCAGTGCTTCTGCACGGGCAAACAGGATCTGCGGGACCAAATTGAGAAGTTTTGAACGAACACATATGGACACGCGAGTGCTGACAATGTCTCCCCTGTGTCTAGTAAATTCCAGTAAAGCCTCGTTAATATGTACTATTTGCTGCAAATGAGACATTACACACTAAACGGTAGTACGAATGAACCACCAAGAAGTTTGCATTTCCTGGCATGCACAATTATTGCCGTGAAAAGAATAAATGCAGTGCCATAGCAAGTACAGTTAAACCTGCTTATTATGTTCCTCGATATAAGAGAGTTTTTCTATTCCCCAATGTTACTCCATAAAAGCCCATGTATTTGCCACCTCTATGTAATAAAGTAAGAGTGGGAGAAATCCTTCATGTAGCGAATTTTGGCCATAGACAATCTAGGAATTTTGCCCCGGATTTTGTCAATTTGGCCCAAGCATACATCTTCTGCAGTTGCCCCGCCCCCGAAGAAAGCACGAAACAGCAGTGGAGCGCACGGCACACTCGTGGCTCCAGCGACTCCCAGGCGAGTGCAAACGCTCGTTTTTGCATGAGGCGGGCAGGCGGGGCCTGTGCCCCTCAAGCTGGTGTTGCCTCTGTGGGTTCATGCACGGATGTGCCCTCTCCCTCACTCTTAACCAAAAGGCTGCACACCATTTGGATGGCGCTATACCGAATAGTTTCCCGTGGTATTCGTGTCGTTCGACCTTTCTTTTCAACGCCATACGCGCATGCACAGTTTCACTACGGGCGCATGGTTTGGCCCCTCAACGACATCGACCTTTTTCTTTTTTCTTTTTTTTTTTAATGCAGACAACTGTGTCATCCCTACCCAGGGGATGTCAGATAAGGCGCTGATGGAAGCTCTTCTTCCTTCAGGAGCACGGTGATGACGGATCTTCGGAGGTCGACTCGTCACGTGCATTGGTCTGGTGCTGTGCCCCAAGATTGCGGGGCCGTATCCTTCATTATTAGTCGATTGGCTTTTGCAATTACGAGACGATGCATTGAATGCAATGCAATGAATGCGATAGCAATAAATTGTAATTTTATACGAAGCAAGGCTGGCAGCACACTCTTTTGGATCCTATATCGCTGAAATCCAAGAAAATGCTAGTAAAAGCAACTACAGTCACTCCAGGAAGAAGTGCTCTTTTCCCACAGTCACTTCACGTTGAAAGCACACTGATGCTTGCCGAAATAGCATGTGCGTCAGCGATCACAACCCCGCCCTTGAAAACAAAGTTCACCGTTCCTACTCGAGCCACCACCCTCCCCCCCCTACTCCTCCCGTGTTTTTTCATGCTTGTTCAAGACTGGTGGTTTCCTTTCTGTTTGAGCATTGGACGGCAGTTTTAACACGTGGGGGGATGTTACCGTATGCGCCCTCTAGGTGATAGGAAAGGGCTGGCTCGTTTGCTTTCTGCTTCAACAGCGCTTGCGCTCTTGTACCCAGTCCTAAAGTTACAATGCGCGGGGGCATGTTATCAATTTGAACTTGTTACTTAACATGGCGGCAACAGCAAAAACACGCAGAGAGTGTCCATAATAATTGCATCATTTTTTTATTGCTAAATAATAGTTCCGAGCTGGCTCTGCCTTCAGTTCCCTTTTTGTTTCATTCATTATTTAAAAATTTTCGTAACAAACCTGCGTACAACGAATTCTTGTGCGAATTTGTCAATTTCACTATATCCAGGTTTAACTGTATTGCCTAAACTGCCCCCCAAGAGCCTTTTCTTTCTTTTTGCCAAAATGTACAAAAAATCCCAGCACTCCCACATGACCGTATGATAGCGCTTAGTAGTGCTGTGGCGCCGCCACCAAGAAGCATTTTTAACTACCCTATTGCAGAGTATGAGATATGCTGCAACTGAAATTGTGGCAGGACAGACAGTATCGACTTTCCTCAATACATGTGTCTGTGTCATGATCTGCTATTAAGAGAAAACTGACAGTTTTACTGAAACACAGTATGGCCACATGGAGCCGATTGTCTCCCTCCCGGCTGGTTACATGCGGTGCGTTTCCTACTCTGGCCACACCATCGCTGTCAGGCCCCTAGCTGTACATTACATGCTCATTTGCTAAGGGGAGTGCATGTGCCCACTTCAAAAGTGTGACAAGTAGCTTGTTAGATTAACGTGGCGATGATAAGCTTCCTGCAAGCGATGTGTTTTCTGCAGTGCCCTAGCTGCCCTGGTAGTAGACAAAGGCACATGTGGGTTGTCACTCAATAAATGCATGCAGTGTAGTTAAAACAGCGCTTCACTTGCTGTATTATTCACATGAGTTTTGCGAGATAACACCAGTGCAATGAGCTTTCTTGGCACCCATGATCTGCAAAGCACAACCACATATTCTCTGCAACAGTGAGCTGCTTCATTTCTACAATGTGGTGCCCGTGCACGAAGACGGTCCCGCACAACAAGGCGTCAGCGATCGGCGGCCAAGTATGTTCTGGTTGTTGCCTACTAAAAGCATGCAGTAGATTTTAAGTAGCACTATGCCACACGCATGCCTGTGCAAACAGTTGAAGGTCCGTATTATGATAAAGTTGTTGGCAATAAGGAATTCCAGCACGTTCGTAGGTGGCCGCCCACTCGCCTTCCTTTTTTCGCGATGCTCACCCGAAAAAGCGTTGCCGCCATCCTGTGGAAGTAAGAATCATTTACCTATGGCTCCCCACTCTTCTAAAAAAGATGGAAAGCCTTCCATGGGACATTGTGGCGTTGGCAAGCTCAGCAGTGCCATAAACATTTATGGCACAAAAAAGTTAACCCGATACATATCTGGTATGCACAGTTAGGTATAGGACAAAGCACTACGGCTTAAGTGGTCATTGAATGTATTAGGCTCAATGATATTTGGTCAAGGATTTGTCACAACCTACGAGGGTTGTACCTGCATTGCTGTTGAACCATGCCGGAGTGTACCGAATGGTGATTACGTGGTCACACCATCTCCGCGGTGTTTATTGGCACTGCATGTGTCTTCTCCATACACAGTTGTAACTATCACGACGAACAAAACGTGCCATCCCCTTTAGAGCTTTGGACAAAGGGCATTATTGAGCCTTCTTCGAGTCCCCCATCGTCCTAGTTAAAAATAAAGATAGTACCTGGCGTTTCTGTGTGAACTATCAGCACTTGAACAAAATCACTAAAAAGGATGTATACCCACTACCTCGCATTGATGGTCCTGTGGACTGCCTTCACAATGCAACCCATTTTTCTTCGAGAGACCTACGCTCCAGTTACTGGCAAATCGCAGTACATGACCTCGACCATGAGAAGACCACCATTGAATACCTGACGGCCTCTACAAGTTCAGAGTTATGCCGTTCGGCTTGTGCAATGTACCGACCACTTTCGAGCGGATGATGGACAAAATTTTGCGCAGCTTTAAATTTTCCACATGCCTTTGTTACCTAGACGATGTCATTGTGTTTGCGCCAACCTTCGAGACTCATCTTGGCCGACTTTCGTCCATTCTTTCGTGTTTCGTGCGGCTGGGCTACAACTTAATTCTTCGAAATGCCACTTCGGGCACCGCCAAGTTGCCAACTTGGGGCATCTCCTCAACTCATGTGGCATCCGCCACGATCCCAACAAAGTTCGTGCTGTTTTTTTATTTTTCCCTGTACCATCTTACGCCAAGGACGTTCGCAGTTTTGTGCACCTGTGATCATATTTCCATTTAAGTGGGGTCATGATCAAGCCGCTGCTTTTTCAAGCCTCATTAGTCTACTCACCACACCGCCGATTCTCATCCACTACGGCGCGTCCGCGCCAACCGAGGTCCGCACTGAGCTAGCAGCTACAGGATTGCTGCTGTGCTAGCTCAACGACAATCCGGTCATGATAGAGTCCTTGCATATGCCAGACGGCTGCTTTCCCCTGCCGAACACAATTACAGTCGAACCCCACAACAACGAAACTGAAGCGCGGAAAAAATTTTGTTGAAACAAAGATTTTGTTGTAGTGAAATGAAAAAAATTAAAGCTGATCTGAGCTAGCCAAACAAGCCAACCTTTATTTCCTAAATTCAAAAGGTTTTGGCTATTTCATTGTCTTTCTAAGGAACGTCATGATGCCATTTTCACCCATGCATTGCGACGCCATGATGAAGAGCACGCTGAAACAATGGCCACAACGGTTTTCGTGAATGAACCTAACAACTGCATTAACAGGTTAGCACCAGCAGCTATTTGCCATTAAAGTGTATCCGACAATGCCGAGATGGAGGCGAGGTATCATGCAGCGGTGACTTTTGCCTTATTTTATGCTGTTCTTATTCTCCATCACTCGTGGCTAGCTGATTTTTTTCATAATGCGGACAAACAGCTGCTCTGATTAGTTACCAAACTAGCCAAGCGCAAACAGAACGATAAGTATTGGTATAAAAAAAGGCATTGTTCCGCGATTGCAACCAGCAGCTGCATAAAGGAAACCATGAACTGAGCGACGAGCTTCAGCTTTGGATCGCCTGCGGCTCAAACACAAACCAGTGGCAAAAAAAGCAGGGCAGTCTCATTGCCACTGCTACCAAGCAATGGCGGCGTCCATGCTTGGTAAACAGGGGCGTTTTCTGGTGGTGCCAACATGTTTTTTTTAACTTTGTCGACGTATTTTCAGGTTCTGAAAATGCATCAAAATGTTAAATATTGCGTTTACTGCATAGCATTAAATATCTAAGCCTGGAAGTGCACCATCAAATTTCGTTGAAGCGGGATGACAGAAGGAAAAGTGCTCACTGTGGCGAGAATGTTTATGCATTGACTCCTATAGACTGCTTACGGGGAACCAATAATTTTTCATTTAGCGGATGTTTCGCTGTAGCTGCTGTGTTCGTTGTAGCAGTGTTTGACTGTATCCCAATACTGAGAGTGAATGCCTCGCGGGCAGCTGATAAATTATGTCTTTATTTATATGGCCGACATTTCACCGCGACCACAGGTCCCCATACTCTACACTGGCTTTTAACACAAGGATTCAACAGGGCACCTGGCTTGCTG